AACAAGAATCTTCAAAGATGACAAGTTTGGATAACCTATGATTGGTCTCTTGGAACATTAGAGGTTTAGGCTCAGGAAAAGAAGAAATCGGTGGTAGGAATTTTTTTAAAGAACCAAAGGATTGATATTCTAATGTTGAAGGAAACAAAGGTTCAAAATTTGAATTTCAGATTAGTAAGGAGCATTTGGGGTTCAAGTAGTGTAAATAGTTGTCGATCCTAGCAATCAACACAGCTAGAGAAGTAGCAATTATCTGGGATAATAGCAAGTTTATGTTGGTAGGTAAGGAAGTGGGTGAGTTTTCTATTTCAATTTTGTTGAAGTGTGTATTCTTCGTCCTATTCTGTAATGGTCACGACAATTTATGGAAAGAACTGAGTGCAGTAAGAAGTGGAAAGATCCCTGGGTTATTAGAGGTGGCTTTAACTCCTTAATTGAGTCAACTGATAAGGGAGGTGGTTATCAGAGAACCAAAGGTATGAGTTTATTCTTTGAATTCATCCAAAAATGGGAGCTCATTGATCTTCCCCTCTTCGATGCCAAGTATGCTTGGGACCAATAACCAAGAGAAGCCTACTCTTGTACGACTAGATAGGTCCTTAGTTTCAAACAAGTGGGAGGAACTTTTCCCAAAGACCAAAGACCTTACAGGAAGCTCTTCATAGAGTCATTTTTGTCCATGTGCCCCTTGGAGTTCATAGAAACCCCAGTCCCTTTTGTTTGGAACATTGTTGGAGGGATGAGATGCACTTTGAAGGTTCGACAAGTTTTGTATTATTTAAGAAATTGTAATGGCTGAAAAACGTGATCAAAGCCCGGTAAAAGGATCAAGCAAAATTGTCTGAAAGGTGAAAATAGAATGTATGGAGATAATAGATGACTTAGATAAGAAAGAGGAAGATGGGGAGTTAAATGGTGCACAGAGAAAGAAAAGGTTGGAGGCTAAGAAGGAATTTGAGAAGTAAAGTGGTGATGGAGCGCAATATCACCCCACATTTTTGTTTTTCTTTTCATCTAGTTTCAAATGAGTCCCACAATTTGACAGGCAACCTTGCCCACTTTCTTACAATTCTAGCCATCAAGAAATCGAATTTTGTTTCAATTTGGCTATTAAGTGGCCCCTACGCTTAACCAAATGCTTATAGTGGTAATAAAAGAGTGTTGACCCATCAAAACCCACTTGTGAATTTTGATAAATACCACATGGGTTAACACACTTGACATTGGTTGATGGGTAGTTTTTCGGATATCACGTCTTTTCGGTATCACAATCAAACCGACGTTTTAAAGTTAATTACTTAATTATATATTTATAATCAAAATATATAATTATACTCTACACATACATACATGTATATTAAATGTTGAGGCCCACCGGCTGGTTTTATGAAAACAAGATCAGTTCACTGGTTCCCCAGTTGGAATGACTGGTTGACTGGTTAAAACTGGCTCATGGTTTTATCAGTCCGACCGGCTGGTCCAGCCCGGTTATCTATACATTACTCCACCTGCTCTTCTCCAGTTTCAGTGGTTCATGCCTAGAAAAGGCCTACACAGCACAGTGTATTTGCAGAACAGCACAAGAATCCCAGATTACATTTTGTGCTTTTATGTGCCAAGTGATACATCTATGTGACATTAGTGCAATTGGGTCAGCATTTGGAAGTCCTAGCCACAATAAAATGCCAAGGAGAATGCAAATTGAACTACCTAATCATGAGTATCTCATAACCACTCAAAACTCTGATGCTTACAAGTTCAATCTTGGCAAAACTGTAGCATCCCAAGAGAATTTCTTTATTGGAGTACATTGGAGACTAGCTACAAAGCAGAGCGAGTTTCAGTAGTTCAAGTTCTTTCTCATTAGAATAGTTTGCAAAAAGTAGGGAATTGAGTTTGGATACAATAAACCTTAGTTGTCATCTTAAGAGAGGCAACTTGGAAAAGCAGCAAAGGTAGACCAAGAGATTCTACACAGGTTTAGATTAGAAAACTAATTAGATTATGAAAAATTGAAGAAGAAAAAATTTCAATCAGATAAAAGAAATTCAAGAAAGGATAGACCTTAGGCCCTGACTAGAAGAGAACAAGAGATTAGACAAAAACAATATAACTTTAATGATCAATTAATTATTTTCTTTCTTTTTGATTCCTTTTCTTCTTAAAAGGTGAAAGTATAAAATCTCAGTTCTGTAAAATGAGGAAAAGATGGAAAAAACGCCCTATTCCTATACAGGGAGGGACTGTATATATGGAGGAACACCTCCCAAAATACTTTGAAAAAAGAAATAATCACAGTATCACACCTTGAAAAGATATGTAGGAGAAAAAAAGTCCACAAAGGCAGCTTAGAAAGTTAAAGCATAAAACACGTTTTTAGAAGCATAAAACACCTGTCCACACACAAGTTGGTGTAAAATAGCCTAGTGATAAGGATTCTAGTCTTTAATGTGGGCAGCCTAGGTTAATTCTTACAAACTGCATATAATTTTATATTAGTGCGCTATTCTACCCATGCCATTTGCTAATAAAGCGGAAATATGATAATGTATATTAAATTGATACTTTAAACATTGGTTGGGATTTGACTTTATTCGGTTCAGTTGAATCATTGCCTCAACCCAGAATTTCTGTTTTTTTTTTTTTATCAGCAATTCAACCCAGAATTCCGTCACACAAAATACAGCCAGAAAAGAATTTGACAAAAAAAAAACTCATAGCCCAACCAAAGACCCTTGATTACGAAGGAAAAACCTTATTCAAAACACCTGATCATTACTTCAAAAACCATAGCCATTATCCTTTTACAACTGGAGAAATAACACATTCTATCTCATTAATGTAGAGCTAGTTAATAAGGTCAGTCAGTAGCTTTTTCAAAATCCAGCGAAGTATGCTTTTCAATCTAGTGGCAGCCCTCATAGATCATCATCAAAGCCTTCTCACAACTATATGGGGTTGGCTACAAGAATCCTGTTTTACCATTCTGAAAAAGGTTAGCAACCTAAAGCAAATGACACCCGGTTTTAAAACATAAAAATAGAAAATACCAATTCAGAAACCCTGTTTTTATATCAATACCAATTCAGAAACTGTTAGTACTCAAATCTAGGTGCAGATATTGATTCCATCTCCTTTTATATGTTTTAGTCTCTTTGAGATGCTCAAATCTCTTCAGAATTAACCTCTATTTCTGTGGAAGGATGGACCATACCACTCAAACATAAAAGAGCCCTTGGAGTCTACAAGAAGTAGCTATTAGGTTGAGCAAAAAACCTATTAATTACTACACACTAAAGAACTAAAACTGTTTCTT